ACTAAAGTACCGCATACTAGTACCAATCTAGTTATGGGGATTAAGGCCTAAAAGTCGGAAGAGTGTAGAAAAGATATACTTCAGTTCATTAAAATTTACATAAGAGAATTTCATTAAAATATATATATCCTTAATCAAACAACTAACACGTTCAATGGTAATATCAATATGTCTATTCAATTATCTAACCATAACACAGTTTTAATAAATATTCCATAAATTACTAAGTTAGTTGAATCAAGCTACCATGAAACTACACAACTTATATATATATAGATAAAGATCGGTGACCACCAGTTTATCTCTTCAGTAACATCTTAAACATTTAGGTTGGATGATACAGGTTAAAATCTAAAGTGGAATACTAATCCTACCTCCCAAGTTTTTAGATATGCTTATTTAATGAGTACAAACGAACATTAGACTAAGTTGAAAACATCCTAGAAACTACTATCATCCACTTTAAATCGATTGATGGAATAGCTTGATGATCTATTTAACTGATTCAATAATATATTTAAACCTTTTGCAATCGACTAATAACAATTAATAATCAGTTATGAAAATTGTAGTACTCATAGTGAAAGTCATTTACTTAGTTTCAAATATAAAAATTTTTTCATATAAATATGCGGACCGATTAGGCATAAATTTAAAATAAATAATAAGTGCCAACATTAACTTTTACTGAATATATATAGTCGATTGATCGCCCCCAAATCAATTGGTATGGCCAAGAGTGGAGAGAGAAACGGCGATTCCTCTCCAAATGTTCTCTCATGACTACGAGCATACAACCACTGCTAGGGAAGCACTACTCACTATATTCTCGAGGCATTATTGTTGATTGCGAAATCAAGAGAGGTCGAGAAACGAATGTCCGGCGCTGGATATGGAGGATCCACCTAGGTAAGTTGGAGAACCCTGATTTCAAACCATTGGTGCATATGGACTCCAAGATCCTGAAGGAACAAATGGAGTATGAACTAATTATTGGTCACCGACTACCATAATAAAGCATCTCCTTACTTCGCTCCACTGTCTTGTGGATATGACGTTTAGGTCAGTAGCTCAGGGAGTAACTCCCTAAAAGCCATCTGCTTCGGTTCGGTCACTTGGAACGTTTTCCAGCCTTCACATAAATTGAATGATTTATGTGGAGCATGTACATTTGGTGCCTCCGTCTATCAATGTTTATGTGTTTAAATAAAATGATAAATAAATAACATCAAATGATTGCACAAGACCGATAGATATCATTAGGACCCATCCCTTGAATCAATTTATTTAATCTATTGTTTACTAGATATGTATACAGAATATATTATATTGTTTTTCTATAACTGTTTCTCAAACATCCAACTACTTCATGCACATGATTCTCTTTATCATTTTGAAAAGAAAGAATTAATTATTTCATTAAAGTTGTAAACCGCCTAACAATAAAACCGAAGACACCTTCACCGTTCTGTACGAAGTTCTTCAACTAGACACACTGGATGATGTTCTTATTGATAATAAATTGATATCTACAGTTGATGTTTATTTAAATACTTGCGAATTTATAAGTTTACCGAGGAAGTCCTTTCAGAATGTTGTATACCAAAAAAACAGACTGATCATTGACAATTTTATAATATCAATAATGGGAAGATTAATATTACATCAAGTCAAATAATGGAAGGATAGATTTGGAAATTACAATATTCTATGAAAAATTAAATTTAAACATGAATAATATTAAAAGAAAAAATAGATGGTGTGTAAAAGTGAAATCCAGGGACTTATCAGCTGGATGTACCTTCATTTCAAAATTGATGTCCACTCTGGAACTCCAACCTAGTACTGTTCGCTTTGAACGCCATTACGTTATCTACTTAGCTACCGAATTCCGATAGCCACTAGTATATTCAATGGAGTGAACATCAATCTTGGGATAAGAGTACATCCAACTAACGATGAGTTTCAAACAAGATGAAATGTGAATCAATATGATTGTTAATATACAATCGATTAAGTAAATAAAGTATTTTCTTTATAGAATATTTAAACAATAATTTTTAATCTATATAAAAGACTACTTAATTATACTTCAGTATCATTCAATGTATGATAGAAAGAGAAATAAAAAGTAATTTATGCAAATTTTTTTTTATCTCAAGTTCAATAGATCTTACTTAGATAGTTCATACTTTTTCTTCCCAAATCCAAAATCAGACTGACACTTACAGGATGAATATAGAATGGATAGGTATTAGTAATTTTTGGTTGAATACTCCTCGAATTCATTCTACTTCAATGTCATTTATAGTGTGTTAGTTATTTGTTTCTTTCTGCCTTTAAACGTATCAACTTATAGTAAATAGTTGATTGATAGTTAGTAGATTCATAAGGTCTATTGTATATAAGTCCATTAATGAATAAGAAATTATAGTTTTATTTACCTACTATATAAAGTATCCAAGGGTGACTACAGTATAGATTCCGTGTTAAAAACATTTTTCATTAAAAGCCAATATAATCTAGTTAAGGTTATCCGCCTATTTATGTATATGTATTCTAAATCATAATAGACTTACATACACATCTGATCACTGATGAAAATTATTACAGGTCAGTATTTAAATAGATCTGAATCTTTTGAATTTTGGTAAGTAGAGATGGATAGTGGAAAGCAATGGAATCAAGGACGCGCATTTCAAACAAACAATACTAAATGAACTTTTGAACTTTGTTTACTTTGTTCAATGTTTGATAGAACAATAACTAGTCAGCTTAAAGAAAAGCATCTTATCGGTTTATTTAATGAAAAGAATTCGTTCACGGTTTACAATAATAGCCAACCTTAGTTAAGTATATATTTAAAAGTTGCAGAGCATAGAAGATATGTTTATGTGGTGTATGGGACTCTTTAGGATTACATGTTCACGTTCCCAACTTAAGTGATAGGACTCACAATCTTTAAGTCTCACAGTCATTATTAAACATGTAGACCACTGAGTTTGCATTCATAATTTTTTTGTATACTTAATTTTAATCGATCCATACAATATGCACCAATCAAATTACACTTGATGGAGATGCTTTGGAGGATGTGGAAACCTTTACATATCTGGGCAATATCATTGATGAACATGGTGGATATGATGCAGATGTGAGGGCGCGAACCGTCAAAACAAGAGCAGCATATATATAACTGAGGAACATCTGGAACTCAAAACAATTGTCAACCAACACCGAGATCAGAATTTTCAATACAAATGTCAAGACAGTTCTACTGTATGGGGCAGAGACGTGGAGAACTACGAAAGCCATTATCCAGAAGATGCAAATGTTTATTAACAACTGTCTACGAAAATTACTTAGGATCCGTTGGCCAGACACTATCAGCAACAACCTACTATGGGAGAGAACAAACCAGATTCCACCGGAGGAAGAATTCAGGAAGAAGTGATGGAAGTGAATAGGACACACATTTAAGAAATCACCCGACTGCGTCACAAAACAAGCCCTCACATGGAATCCTCAAGGCCAATGCAGAAGAGGAAGACCAAAGAACACATTACGTCGATAAGTGGAGACAAATATGAAAAGACTGAACAAACACTAGATAGAACTAGAAAAGAAAGCCCAGGACAGAGTGGGTTGGAGAATGCTGGTCGATGGCCTATGCTCTATTGGGAGTAACAGGCGTAAGTAAGTAAATAATTTTAATGGATCCGCTGTATCATGCAGTCATATTTTAATGGTATCGATTAATAAATCCCTCACATTTGATGTGATTGATTTCCTTTAGTCAAAGTAATACATGAAAACATAGGGAATTACATTTTAATGTTATTCGTTAACACAAACAAAGCCTATTGTAAAAAGTAATAGATCTACAATATTTGGTTGTTAATATAGTTGTTTTTTAGTAAACAGGTTAAGTAGATCATTAATTTTTACAAGGATTAAATTAGAAAGTAGTATTTCATTAGTATTTTACAGATGATCACAAGTATCTTAATTCATTACTTACCTTTCTTATAACCATGTTCAAATACAATTCTGAATCATTTTTCTAAGTTGTACTAAATAAAACAGTTTGACTTCTACTGTTAAGTTCATTAGTTTACATTTCTCTACATTTACTACAATGTCACGAACCGGTAAATATCACTTAATAAGTAGTATATCTTCAAAATACTAACACCATTTAACAATGGCTATGCGTATCTATGAGTAAACTTCATTATTCAAATAATTAGCTGACACCTTCTTATATTAAGAAACGAACAAATACACAATTGAGTGATACATTACATTTTTCAGTCAAATCGGTTTATTTATTGACTTATAAAATTGTATACACATATTATCATGGTTGGATGCCAGCTCAGTGGTCAATCAGTTATGTCCTCTTGAGCGAGACGGGTAGGTTCTGGGTTCGAATCTCACGAAGTAAGATCGTGGATGAGCACTACTAAGGAATCCCATAATAAAACGAAACGGTCGTCCAATGCTTCCAGGTTTTCCATAGTGGTCTAGCTTCAATCGACTCATGATTTCAACTATGAAAATACTGAAATCTCCACCAAACCCCTTCTAATTATACATGTATTTTTTTATTAATTAACTACTGAATCAGTTCATTCAAACTTATTGATTAGGAAAAATATTCACTATAATGCGTAATTTATTGTTATGAATGTGGATATCGTTTAATTAACGGTTACCAAATCAATTAATTCCCTTTTTACAGTCTTACATCAAAAAAGGAATCTTGTTTTGTTAATAATAAATGATAAAATAGCAATTATTCCTTGGTCATAGTCAGAATCGCCGAGTGGTCCAAGGTGCTGCGTTCAGATCGCAGTCCACTCTGTGTGCGTTGGTTCAAATCCCACTTCTGACACTAGACATAGTAAACAGCCATATTAGTACTAGTGATTAAGTCACAATACTGATAAATGAATTATGATTTTAATATAATAATAATAATAATGATCTAATCATACCTTCTTCAATTGGTCCAGGCATTGAATAACGATCACCAAATACAGCTTTTAAACTTTCATTATTTACACCAAATCCATCTATAATCCATTGAACATTGATATATTTTGTATAAAATGATTTCAATTTTGTTATATTATTATTATTATATATTCTACAATACATTATAGTATTACTATTATATAATATAGTTTGATTTTCTGGTCCTTTTATATAATTTTTATTATTATTATAATATTGTTCATTATACATTAATTCTTTACACATTGTTAATGATAATAACCATGATAATAATATGATTACATAATAATAGTAATAATAATAATAATGATAATCCAATTTTATAATAAATCGATAAAATAAAATCAATAATATTGATTTCTGATTAGATTTTCCATTAATTGACATAATGTTGATTATTATTATTATTATTAGAAAAGGTAATACTATCAATGTACAATAGTAGTATATTCTTTGTATAAAACATATTTGTGTTATCTATACAATTAAAAGAAGAGAATGCCATAATACATGGGTTTAATGAAACTGGTTTAATATTAGATAAATAGGGAAAATAATTTTAATTCCAGTTACTATGCTACATTATTAAATATATTAAATTAGATTTAAAATTTACACAATTTGTAAAAAGGTTATTTAAAAGAAAAACGAAATATTTGCTCAATTTTAAAATTAACCAATCAAATCACACCTCAATTTTGATTGGTTGTTTTATGAAATTTTTAATTTATCCTATTATGAGGGGGTTGTTTGTGGAGATTTTCTGTAATTATATATATATATATATATATATATATATATATATATATATATATATATGTACATATATATAGTGGAAATCATGAGTCAATTGAAGGTAGACCACCATGGAAAACGTGGAAGAACTGCATAGCCATTTCGTTCTATTGTGGGACTCCTCAGTAGTGTGCGTGGTACTTAACCGACAGACCACTGAACCGGTATCCAATGGTATTAATGTCTAACATCAACCAATCCACGAAGTTCAACAAGCACTTCACCAATGTCATCAGTGAGTTGATATCTCGCAACAGACCTGGTTGAACTCCACTGGTTACCGCTTCTCACTAGAACTCCAGGAAATACCTCATGAAGTCACTCACTAGTGAGCATATGATAAGTGGGCTGTTTGTGAAGACTTGTAGTAATTTTTGATATATAGTTGAAATCATGAAACGGCCGTTCAGGTATTCCAGGATTTCCATGGGGGGTCTAACTTCAATTGACTCATGATTTCAACTATATTTAAAATATCATCCTATTATAAGTTGTTTAATTTTACTTCTTTGAAATCAGTAAACTATGAATGCTTATTCAAAATCAATAATTGTTCATAGATAAATGATCTAATGTAAATATATGCTGGACAACATTTACATTACGAAACTTGTCAGCAAATAATAGTAAAGCATATGAAATAGTTTGACATTTTTGAGTTCATGACATTTTTCAGTGGATAACTGTGGAAACTAAAACACCACCCATCAATTATGCTTCCTTGATTCTAACACCTAATAACCTCTGATGTTTTCTTTGCATATATATATATATATATATATATATCATTGATAACCTTTTGTCATCCCAATCCTTTACATTTACATATGTCAACTGTTCAACACTATTTATTACCTCGACGCTAAAATTCTAATAAATATTTGGTTGTAAGCAGCTGATGAGAAACCACGAAATATTACTTATTTACTTACACCTGTTACCCCTCGTTGAGGAGCATAGGCCTCTCACCAGCATTCTCCATCCAACTCTGTCCCAAACAATCCTTTCCAGTTCTTTCCAGTTAACATTCCTCTTTTTCATATCTTCTTCTATTTCCCGACCTAATGTGTTCTTTGGCCTTCATTTGCTGTGAGCTAAACGTCAATAATTCAGTTTTCGTATAAACTTATCACTCAATCAAATTAAATGCATAAACTCAATATTTTTCTTTCCTCTTTTACGCTTCCCTTACGGATTCCAAGTTAGGGTTTGCCTCGTGATACAGTTTGATGATTTCCTCAAAGTATGTCCTATCCACTTCCAACTTCTTTTCCTAATTTCCTCTTCAGATGGAAGCTGGCTTGTACTCTCCCATAAAACGCTGTTGCTTATAGTATCCGGCCAATGGGTGTTGAGTATTTTGCGAAGACAACTGTTTATAAATACTTGCACCTTCCTGATGATGGTCGTAGTAGTTCTCCACGTCTCAGCTCCGTACAGTAGGACTGTGTTGACGTTCGTATTGAAGATTGTGACTTTGAAGTTAGTTGACAGTTGTTTGGAGTTCCATATGTTCTTCAATTGTAGAAATGCTCTCCTTGCTTTGCCAATCCTCGCCTTTACATCTGCATTCGATCCTCCTTGTTTATCGACGATGCTTCTCAGCTACATGAATGTTTCCACCTCTTCCAGAGTTTTGCCATCAATTGTGATTAGGTTGGTTTTTCTCCGTGTTTCATTTGAGAATCTTGCTTTTTCCTTTGTGAATGTGGAGACCTATCGATGCAGAGGCTGCTGCTTCACTCACTGTCTTCGTCTGTATTTCTTCGTGTGTATGAGATAGTAGGGATTAGTCATCTACGAAGTTCAAATCATCTAATTGATTCTGAGAAGTCCATTGTATTCCGTATTTTCTCTCAAATGTTGAAGTCTTCACAATCCAGTCAATCAATATAAGAAAAAGGAAAGGAGAGAGTAGACTGTCTTGTCTGACTGCAGTCCCTACTGGAAATGTATTTGTCAGCTGTCCTCCATGAACGACTTTGTACTGTAGTCCATCGTATGAGTTATTTTGCATCAATATTTTATTTTGGTTTTATTTAACTACATAAAGGGAACTGATTGCATGAAACGTCACAATAAATTAGTAAAGTGTATCATTTATATACAATACAGTTTCAATAATTTGAATGTGTGAATTTACTTGTCAAAAGATTAGTTGTACATTGTGAGAATAAATTTTTTTCTCATTCATTAAGGAGTAACTTCATTAATTATATTTTCATGCTTTCTAAAACTCTAGAGATTGAATGATTTTAACTGCTTTCATAAATCTAAATATTGAGTTGTTGTATTGCAAACTGTCCTGTTAATCTTTATTCTAATATAATTGGAGGTAGTGCACTAAATTGCTTTTGTTTGTATTATATTTAGCTGAAGTTTTCCCGATATTATTCATTATCACCGTCTATTTCAATAGATATTTCTTACTTTTCATCTGGAACGTTGTGGCAAATAAATAACTAATCAGATTATAAGCAAAGATGGATAATTACTAGCAGTGGAGTTGAAGACGCGGGTTTCGTCCTATGTGGGACTCGTTAGATGGATATATCTGCATCTAAGAGTTGATGTTCACTATGATACTCGAACCCAGTACCTCTCGTTTCAAATACAATCTCGTTATCCACTCATCTACTGAGTCCTGATAGTCACTAGCTTGTGCAAACGGGTGAAGTTTGAATTCACGTGGTATTGTTTGTTTGAATCTTTCCATTGATGCTTAGGACTGCAACTGGTCAGTCTCTAATTGACATATGTGCATACTGTGCGTATTGCCTCGATATAGCCTTAGTTCACAAGCATGATAAGTAAAGATGGATAGTGGCTAGCAGTGGAATTCAGGATGCGAGTTTCCTCCTATTTCGGACTCGTCAGCTGGATGTACCTGCATCTAATCAAATTGCCTGAAATCTGTTGGTCAAAACCATCACATTCCTTTCTTTTAATATAAATCCGTTTTCTTATTAAACGTTCAGAATTTGAAGAGAATAATAAGTAGTTTAAGCAAATGTGAACCAACGGACAGTAGATGATACAGCACGTGGTGCTTTGATGTGTATTCATACGCTATAGACAATTATATCCTGTGAACTAAATGTACTTTATGTAGTGATTTCGAGAGATAATCTAGTTTCTTGTACGACTTTATCAGATAAAATGCTTCCATCATTCATAATCCAAGAACATTAGATATATAAATCAAAGAACTTTTCTATTATTTTGTCGATTAATAAACTGTGTTATTTTCTAAATCATGTATGACAGAAAGATACTGACAATTAATAATACTACTTTACCTTTTTGGTTGCACTGAAATATCAAGTGAAGTTTGGGATTATTTTGAAAAGGTTAAGTATTATCCCAATAGAACAATGGATTCTTCAGGTTTCAAAACTTAGTTTAAGCGTTTCCTTTAAAGAATAACAGAAAAATCAAGTCAATACAATTCTGAAAGGTACGTTGGAAGAACTCAAAATATATTAAGCAAAAGAATTCCAGTCATGCTGATGTTATATACTAAGTGAATTTAAACTTTATCCCATTGCATAGGCAAGTGGCTATCAGAATTCAATGGCCGAGTGGATAACGCGATGACGTTTGAAGCGAACAGTACTGGGTTCGAGTCCCAGGGTGAACATCAACTCAGCGATGCAGGTACATCCATCCGACGAGTTGCAAATAGGACGAAACGCGCGTCCTGGATTCCGCTGCTAGTCACTATCCATCCTTACTTACCATAAATCTGTCATAGGTTTGAGATACATAGTTCCTGATTTCAGTATCATACATTAGATGAATTTGACTGAAATAAGATTTATAAATATACATGGAATGGTATTTTGAGCTATGATCTGCACCAGTTTAATGAAATTGCATGAAAATGTTTTAAAGTTGTTGTTTATGTCAAATAGAAGCTAAGCTTTAAGTAGTATTGGGATAAATCTAAACTAAATCTTATGTAAGTCAAATTGACAAAAAAAATTGTTTAACAAATTATTTCCCACTTCCTATTTCGTATCTACTGAATACATAATGAACATGGAAACACCTTAGTGTAAAGATATATTTGGACTTTATTGATTATTTACAGCCGAATACTTCACAGTACTCAATGGTAGTACAAGTGATAGTTGACATGAGGTAGTTTAAAGACAACGTTTCTCCTAGGTTTCAAGTTACTTGAGATTCTTTAATCTGATGTACGTAAAGTTTATCAATCAATAAAACTGAAACTTCTCAGATCAAGTTACTATTCATAGTATTTAGAAGAAATACTCAGTTTATAACAATTCATCTATGATTAACAGACAAATTATATGTTGTAGTAGATGTATATTGAAATGAGGTTTTGTAAAGGTTCGTTTTATTTCTAGACTGCCTCATCAAAAAATGATGTCAGTTAGTGTACCATTGAAATTTCATATTCGATCCCTAGTTGGGTCGCTTAATACACGTTACTGAGGTATAGAATACGATATATATAGATGGGAAAATAACTTGAAATGATAATTTTAGAGAGAAAAAAGACACAGTTTACGGTGGATAACTGTTTTATTCTTTTTCTGTATGCTTCATTAGTTTCATATAAC